AATAAAAATGAAATTCCTTTCTCCTTAGCACCTTACATTGCCCTTGCAATTCTCTAAATTGCTTTATAAATGGATATCTCTGGTCCTGTACTCTTTCAAAATACAGAGATCTCTACTGAATTCTTACCTGCTGAACCGAACCAGAGTTACCCACTTGTCCAGCAAAATAATTCTCTTACTTCTTTTTCTGGTTTTCTAGCTCTTTTCCAGAGTACTGATTTATATGCAATTCCTGTAACTGGAGAGATGATTTAATAAAAACTAAAAAAACCAACAACCTACTGTGCAGTACCTCTTCTCTATAATCCTATATCACAGAAGTGGTGTTATAAAGTTTTAAGAATATACAGCCTTTTTCTTCAACAAAGTATCATTGGTCAGTATCGCTGTTTGTGCACTGTCAGAAGGAAGAAGGATGGTTTGTGTGCTAATTTTGATTGATGATTTGAATACAGCTGGTGCAGGCGGGGTTATGTATTGATGTGGTATCACAGGTTTTGAAGAACTCAGATTTCCAACTCTGTCTTGGCAGATTTACAGACGCAGGCCCTATCGTCTAAAGGTTTATGTATGTTCACGATCCATGCATGTAATTGGCTGATTTACTCTTTCAAGCTGTTCAGTTACTTATAAGATGAAACAGTGGTGTGAGTCTGAAGCACCACCACACTTTTACTAGCTTGCAGTAGTTGAAACTGATGTACTAGCTGGTGCTTCATGTTCTCGTGTAATTGTGCCATACTGCCTTGTTTATGAATGCATACCATTACAGGCAGAAATACTTTCAGAAGCTGCAGTGCCAAGTGTGGAGAGGCTGACTTCGTGTTACGTGCACCACAGCAGTACTGGGGCAGCCCTTGCTGAGCCCAGGCATGGGCCAGGTGCTCCTGGTAGCACCTTCCTGGCACCCTCCAACCCCCTCACAGGAAGGAAGTGGTGTTTTTGGCACTTCTTCAAGGTGACAGCACAAGTGGAATTTCACAGGACAAAAACGAGACATCTTGTACATTACTGGGGGCTTCCCAGGCCACACACCCACAGACTTGCTGCAAGCGGTAGAGTTACCAATGTTTCTTCAAGAAGAACCTCCCAGTATCCAAATGGGGATGAGGGCATTGAGAGCAGCCCTGCAGAGAAGGACTTGGGGGTACTACTGGCGCATACCTCTCACACTGGTGGATGAAAAGCTGGACATGACCTGTCAGTGGGCTCTCAACCCTCCAAAAAGCCAACCCTGTCCTGGGCTGCATTGAAAGGAGTGTGACCAGCAGGCCAAGGGAGCTGATCCTGCTGCTCTGTTCTGCTCTCATGACAGCCCACCTGCACTACTCTGTTCAGTTCTGGGGCCCCCAATACAAGAGGGACATGGACCTGTTTGAGCGAGTTCAGAGGAGGCCATGAATGTGCTCAGAGGGATAGAGCGCCTCTCCTATGAGGAAAGGCTGAGAGAACCAGCCTTGTTCAGCCTGGAAAAGAGAAGGCTCCAGGAAGACCTTAAAGCAGCCTTCCAGTACCTCAAGGGGCTTATAAGAAAGATGGGGACACATTTTTTAGTAGGACCTGTTGTGAAAGGACAAGGAGTAATGGTTTTAAACTAAAGGAGGGTAGATTCAGACTAGGTATAAGGAAGGAATTTTTTACTGTGAGGGGGTTGGAACGGTGAAACAGGTTGCACACAGAAGTTGTGAATGCCCCGTCCTTGGAAACATTTAAGGTTACGTTGGACAAGGCTCTGAGCAGCCTGATTTAGTGGAAGATGCACTTGCCCAATGCAGAGGGCTTGCACTAGATGATCTTTAAAGGTCCCTTCCCACCCAAACCATTAAAAAAAATAGTTATGCAGCACTGTGGAGGAGAGCATTAGGTGGCCTATAGGCTATATAGGCCTATAGGTGGCCTATAGGGCTGCTACCAGCTCTGTCAGAAAATCAACACATTGCATTTTGACTAAAAATACTATCTTTGTGGGCAGCATTTCCCCTTTCACAGTGAGCAAGTTTTTCTTGCATGTAAAGGAGAAGGGAGAAATCTTGATGAAGCTGTGGTACCAAATCCGTGTCTGTTAAATGAACTGTGTTTTCATATTGCAGTTAAAATATTTGTAAGCGAAGGCATTTAGACTCCAAAATGTGAAGTCTGAAACTTAGAGCATTTCAAAGGTGGCAGCTAAACATAATGTCCTGGGTTCAGCAGTAGCAGTCATGTTTTTCCTTTGTGCCCCCACATGCTGGTGCTGTACTCACTGTACTCACCTATTAAACATCCACAGACAGTTTGCAGTGCCCGGAACACCATCCTGGGCCTTGAGTCCTTTGGCAGAAAGCTCCAGGGGAGACTCGGGGTCGACCCCTTGGCTTTTGGAGTCGGGGATATAAAGGATCTGAGGCCAGCTATACCCCAACTGAGAAAGAGATACTGGCAGCCTATGAAGGGGTTCGAGCTGGCTTCCTCACAGCTTCCCCTAAAATCAAATGCGGGGCAGGGCTGGCACCACGTGCAGGAGAGGTCCAGCCCCTTGCCATGGTTTTGCTGTCGATGAAGAGCATCTCCCTCCTCGGAGCTGCTGACTCCTGTTTCTCATGTGCAGCTCTGATCGAGAGGAAGAGTGTGACCTGTCCTCTAATCACCTATTAAACATCCACAGACAGTTTGCAGTGCCCGGAACACCATCCTGGGCCTTGAGGGAATACCTCCCCGGCTAGCCCGGAAGGAAAAACATGTCTGCTACTGCTGAACCCAGGACATTATCCACCCCTTATTCCATACCATTCACGTCGTGCTCAGATCCCACATTTTCAATACACCATCGCTCTCCCACATATATACATCCATATACATCAGAACAACTTAGGGAAAAATAGCAAACCCAGTGCCCACCTTGCTGCGTTTCACAGCAGGGAGCCTGTGGACTGAAAGGACCCCAGAGATTGAAGGAAAAACATGACTGCTACTGCTGAACCCAGGACACCCAAACACAGAGAAAACAGAACTCCTGCATGCTTAGGATGTCTGGAAATCCTTCACAGCTCTCAAACCAGGCAAGGTCTCTTCAGAGCTCAGGATATTGTATGTGGGACTTTCATGAGCCTGGCATTTCCAAAAACCTGCTCTCAGGTCTTTCAGGACCACCAGCAATATTGAAAGCTTACTTCAAAAAGCAGAGATCGCAAAGGTTTTTTATGTGGCTCTTGGTTTTGCTTTTTTCCCCATAGGTGCTAATTTTTCATAGGCCGTAGCTGAGCCATGCCCCCTCCTCTTAGTCTTATTACTAGAATCTAGATGGGAGTCTGCAGTTTGCTTTTGAAGCATTAAGCTAGGAAAAGCCCTTCCTAAAGCAAGGCTTGGCACATGTACTGATGAGCCAAAAAGCATCATCTTTTTTCCAGGAGCAAGATTCCAGCTGGAACTCAGCATCTCTTGAAATTCCAGTGCAGAAAAAGGGAACAACATGCCAAAAGGCTCTCGCAGATTGTGGCTGAGGTGCTTGGGGTGTGCTTCGCTGGGTTTCTGCATAGTTCTGTCATGTGAAATTGTTTCCGAATCTCAGCTCCTGATAGTTTTGTGGGTGTATTTTAAAGTATTATTCACCAGGCTATTATTCACCAGTATTATTCACCAGGTTGCAAAGCAGTTGAACAGAGGAACAACCTGTACCTGTCACTGAGCAGCCTGGGCTGCAGGCAACTGCCCTTTTCATTGCAAGGCTCGTTAATGACAAAACCTAGGGCTGCTGAATTAGGTACAAGGTACTGGAACTGCAGGACAATATTCATATCTCATACAGAGCTGGAAGTCTGGCTACCCATCTGCCAAAGTCTCTGGTTCTCCCTGGATAACTTCAGTAGAAAATTCTTGGATTCATTGGGCATCTATGATGAACAAATAAATTGGCAATCCATGCTACGTTAAACCCTGCTTTGGGATATTAACAGACTTTAGTATAAACTGAAATATTCCTATATATAAAACCTGTGGTTTAGGAATATCTATCCTATCTCCTCACCCGTTAGAATGTTGCTGCTGATTATTTATGCAAGAAGAGAAAAGGCACTGAAAGGAGACTTCAGGTATAAGGGGTTGTTGGGAGCTCCAGCCTCTCTTCTCTGGTCTAATTCTAGTTAGCTACTCAGCATAGCTCTGCTAGGCATGCAGAGTCCCAAAGATATCTGGAGACAGCAGAAAGGTCTTAAAGTAGGACTGGGCTATGGTTGCTCAGAGGACAAGAACAAGAAGAGGATCAAGGCCAGGGAGCAGAGTCTGCTATAGCAAGAATGGCAACCAGGCAAAGCCAGGCTTATTCCTAACTCCGTATATACCAGTTGGGCTTTTTCAGAAGAGCTCCAACTCTTAAATAGCCTGGGGACAAATAAACATAATCCTGGCACTTCCATTGCTCATGCTAGAAAGCTGTGCTATGCTGTGGTGACCAGCCAGTGCAGGGCAAAAATCTCTTATAGGGCAGCTTTATTTAACTTTTGAAAAAATAAGGTCAGAAATTTGGGCCAATTAGTGTGAGCAGAGCTCAGCAGGTTCATGTTTCCCTTATGCAACCACATCTCTAATTAACTACCTGCATGGTTTAAACACTTTATGTAGTCCTTTGAAATACTTGTGTGCTGTTTCTCAGGGGTTTTAGCATTTAAGAGCTGCATGTGTTTTCTGGCTTAATTTGTAATTCTCTTCTCCACTTAATCTTCAATAAAATATCTGAGTAATTTTTTCTGTGTATTTCCAATTGCAGTTGGAATTATGGGTTGCCAGTTGCGCAGGTTAGGAAATTGTAATGAGCTCTGTCATGATATAGGCTAAGCATCAAACTTCAGATATGTGTTTCATGGGTATGTGGCTCATTACATTTGGGGATCTCCTTTGTCAAAAGCATGTGTTTTATTCTTTCACAGCCTACTGTTAAATGAAAGTAGGACTTGCTGGTTTGAAGATGCTACTGATCCTAATGCCTTAATTTGTTTTTATTGTGTCTGTTTATCTTGTTTACACAGAGACTTTGCTTATGTGGCAAGAGACAAAGACACAAGGATTCTGAAATGTCATGTGTTTCGATGTGACACACCGGCAAAAGCCATCGCCACAAGTTTACATGAAATCTGCTCCAAGGCAAGTGGATTTAAAGTCATATGCATTCCTCTGTTTAGAGCTCACTGAGCCTAAATTAATCAGCAATTTTTTACGCATTGTTAGTTTAGTTTACATCAATGGCAACAAGAAACTGGATAGAGAATTTGTAAAGGGAAGGACATGAATGGCTGGAATTAATGAGGAGGGATGAGTATTGAGATTTGAGAAGGTGCTTTTGAGTTGACATGTGTATAGCGACTGAAGGTTTTCTTGAATAATGAAGCTGTGGACTGAAAATGGAAAAGGAACACAGTGCATCAATTAATAATAAATGGTGATGTTAAACTCTGTAAATAAATCAGGCGTTGTTTGAATGCTATTATTCAGCGGTATTGTCCCACAGGACAGACAGGAAAACAGTTGCTAACATAACATGGTCACTTAAAAAAGGGGGAGAGGGGAGAATGAGTGGGTTAAAGCTACTCTAGTTAAAAATACTAAAGTATCTTTATTCCTGCTTGTGGTAGTGTTGTCTGTAGTGCTGGAGAGGACCGTTCTCTTCAGTCATTTTTATCTTACAGAGTTGCCACTGTTTGCTGGTTATTAATTTTGATCTTCTTGCATGATCAGTTCATGAGTCTCCTCTGGACAGTCATTTCATGCAGCTGCAGCAAGGCAGCATGTCCTTTACAGCAGGCAAATCTGATTGAAACACTTTATAGAGAGGCAGTTAAACCAATCTCCTTTAAACTCTTTTTTATTCGTTGTTGAGCTGTGGTGAATTTGTGGCTGCATTCCTTTTCTAAAAAAATACTCTGCTGCTCATTTTGGTTTCCCTGAAAAAATGTCAGTGTGCATTCCAGAAGTAGGCTGTGGGGTGAATAACCTTATCAGTTGTCCCGGTGTGACTTGTTCCTCCTCGTGAGTCACAGATCTTTTTAAAAAGCTTATTAGGAAACCTTTGGGGTTTAACATTCTGCTCATTTACTGTATACCTGTCATTTGCTTTTTAAGTTTTTACTTCATGATAGTGGACAGAATCAGTGATATAGGAACTTGATGATCTTAAGGTCCTTTCCGACCCTAACTATTCTGTGATTCTATGTCAAATTCCCCTTTGTAGACAGTTGTATTGTGTAAATGTTTTTGCAGTGCTGTAGCTGTGGCTATTGAACTTGCAATGCTTTATGAGAGCAATGTGGGCATTTACTTTGTGCATTCCTGTAACATCCTGGGCAGCAAAGTTCTGCCTGAGGCAGAAGGTGGTCCAGCAACTGTGCAGAGCCTGTCAGGTTTGCCTAGGCTTGGGTGTCTGAAGAGGTGCAGGTAGCAGGACAAAGGTAGCTGCTCAGGTTGGCCAAGGAGCTGCAGGCTGTGCCTGGTGAAGGTTAATACCAGGGGCTGCAGCAGTGGCTGGCTGGAGAAGCCTAGACCTGTTATGTCCATCCTTTTTCTCCTACAGCTTTCAATTCTCACACATTTCCAGCAAAGGAAAAACATGCTACACAGGCCGTATCACAGCTGCTCTTACCCAGTTAAGGTCAACACCAAGTAGATGCTGTGGTAGCTATACACAGGGGTGTCAAAAGGGGAGTAGAGTTGTCACATATATGTAACTGTGACATGAAATTCCTGGCATTAATTTTGGATTAGAGAGTAAGTAAGCATTTAAAACCATAACTAAAGTAACACGGGTAAAACAGGATAGTGTTGTTAAGTAGAACGTGTTCCTTCATAATTCAGCAGTAGATATAATCCTGATTCAGGGAAGCACTTGGCATGTGCTAACTGGCACACTGGTACTCTTGGCTCAGTCAGGGCTCCTTCCTAAGCTAGTGTGTGTTGTTTTTCATCTGTCCCTGGAACAGAAAATACATTCAAAATATGAAACCTAAAAGAAAATAAAATGAGGGGGGTGGAATTTTCTAGGAGCATCTTCAGACCAAGTGACATCTGGAGCACCGGTTATCTTTCTAGTTAATTACAGTTAGCAGTCATAGCATAAAAAAGCGCACAGCAATGCTTCATATATGAGCTTTGGAGAACCTCTGTTATCCTCCGTGGGTCCCTTCTCAAACATGTGTCTGTGGAGAGTAATCATCCAAAGTGGTTATTTTGAAGTGTTTCATTGGTGTATTTTTTTCTTTTTTGCTAATATTCTACATTTTGGGGGAAGAAGAGGTTGTATTCGCATGGGATTTTTGATTGCAAAAGAAAACATAAAAATGGAGGAAGAAATTACACAGAGCATTAGATCAGAGAGGAACATGAATAATGAACACTCTTCTTGCGTGTTAAATATTTATATTTCTTGCTATATTGCTCCTCATTGCAATTTTGCTGTTGATAAAAGTGGCTGGAGGTTTTTTTACCTTCTCCATCGATCTTTCATCTGGGCTTGGACACCACTCACATTCTTACTACAGTTAAGGAATGGCGAATAAACTGGAGGAAAATTAAAGTTGTTATTTAAAAAGAATAACCTGTTTAGTCATGTAGCTACTGACTTCAGATTTCACAAACTAAGGTTGAAATAGGAGTAAATTTATACTTACAGTTGCTACTGAACTATGTTAAAAAAATAATAAATGCTGTATTATCACTGTCACTTTCAGATTATGGCCGAACGGAAGAATGCTAAAGCTATGGCTTGTGGTTCATTGCAAGGGGGGACAAATGTCAACCTCGATGTTCCTCTGCAAGGTATTGTGTGTTACAGCTCCTATCCTCGGGGTAGTCCTGGGTTAGATGTGTTTAGTTCCTGATGCTGCTTTTGACCAAAATGGAGCATGTTGGGTGCAGAAGTCTGGAGTGTAATCCTGTCTTTTAATTATTGCATCTGACTGTAACCTCTTATGTTGATATTAAGCATTTTTATTATCTGTGTTGGCAGGAATGGAGTCCTGCTCAGTTATGTCAGCTTGTACATTTCCTCTTTTATTTTCAAATATAAATGTGGCGAATGCAGCCTTACTTGTTTGTGGCTATTTGCACATATTGTCCTTTTCAAATCAAAATACCTCCTGACTTGAGACTGCATAAGTTAGCCAAATCTTTCTTAAAAACACAGTATGCTCCAGTTAATCACTTAGATTCGGGGGAAATGTAGGAGCACTCCTAGGTTTCAGCATCTATTTTAGCAGTTTCCAAGGCAAGGGGTGCAAGTGGGTTATCATCCACCTTAAGGGGTTTTTGCACACTCTACTGCATGGCCAAAGTAAGTTACTTTTGCAAGCCTTTATTAGTCATTGCTTAATATTTGCTATTTTGAAAGTATTCCAGGAGAACAAACACACTTTGTGTTAGCTTTGCCGGAAATTACATGCTTCTGGATCCACCAGTTTATACTGAATACCTTACTCCTAATCCATACATCAGCTTGTGTAACTGTCTGCTCAGACAGTACTATTGACTACTCGAGGACTGTGTTTAACATATTAACAAGGATAGCATTTAAAACACATTCCAGATTTTACATAGTTATGCAGTGAATCTTAGGTCTGTTTGTCTCAGAGATGCATTCATCTATATTTTCTGCTTTTTAATATGCCAGCAATATAACATGACCTTGTTCTTAGCATAGGTCAAGAATTAGGTAGTGCAAAGTTATCCGTAATTCCTTTAGAAATTATTGACCATTGTTCTTGGTCAGAAAGAGTAAAAAATAGTTTCAATCAATACAGTATCTTCAGAGCACAATTACTGGGTAAACTGTTTCACGTTATTGATGAAATAAAAGTGGTTTTCCCTGCTGTGAATGCTGATTTAACAGAAATTGATTTTTGTTCCCATGCAGTAGATTTCCCAACACCAAAGACAGAACTGGTACAGAAGTTCCACGTTCAGTACCTGGGCATGCTGCCTGTAGCTAAACCTGTGGGTAGGTGGCACTTGAGTGAATTCCAAAGTACCTCGCATATTACGTAGTAATTCCAGTGGCTGGACTCTGGCTAACCAAGTGTAAATACCTGGTTTTGAAGGGTAGCAACTCTTGTGTTTCAGCCATACAGGTCACATTCAGGGCCTCATTTGAACATGTATTTTGCAACCAGAGTATTTTGGGAGTTGCAGAGAAGGCAGAGTTCCTTTCTACTCTTTCTGTGCTACCAATGAGAAGGGCCTTAGAGAACTGGAACTGCACAGCAGCTAAACATGATGCTACCCTGTTTTTAACTAAGCCAGAGGCACCTGTTTTGTTTTTGCAGATTAAGAAAACCAACTTCACAACCCTTCTAGAGTCCAAAACGTTTTCTGTACTACTATGAAAATAAAAATGTTGTGGCTTACTTATGTATTTATTTTTTACTATTGCATTTTCTTCTCTTCTAGGAATGGATACTCTGAACAGTGCCATTGAAAGTCTAATGACTTCCTCTAGCAAAGAAGATTGGATGCCAGTTACTATGAATGTTGCTGATGCTACTGTCACAGTCATCAATGAAAGAGTAAGGCAGACTGGCTTGTTCAAAACTCGTTTAACATAATAATATGAGTGTTGAAAACCAGAAACACAGAACACTAGTAGAGGGAGTTAATTTATGCTAGAATTTATTTGCTTATTTGGCATTTTATTTCTTTCCAGAACCTGCAGAGGCTCTTACTGCTTTGATCAGCTTCAGCTTGGTTTGCCATTCCAAGCATGTTCTCAGAAATAAATTATTATAAGTATTCATTAGATGCTTAAATTCAGTGTTATGCTTTCTAGGAATTTTGATCCTAAAATGCTGAAGGTTAAGCCCTAAGTAAGCAATCCTAAATTCTAAACTGTATTTACATTATTCGTGGTATGGGAGCCAAGAGTAATACTAAAATCTGTGTTTCATGTCACTGTCCTTTGTAGAGCATTTTCCATTGAGATGAATACAATGAAACTTCCAAGGAATGCCTTTTATTTATGTCTGTTGATGAGGTACTAAACCAACACCTCTGTAACATAGCAGTGATAGGGGAGCATCTTTTGGAGTCATGGTAGCCATGTTGTTTTGTTTCTTTACAAAACAAGCAGTTTTTAAAGTACACAGTGCGCTCAGTGCTAACACTCAAAGCCTTGGTCCTCTGGTAGTAGAAGGGGAGATCCAGCCCAGGCCTGGGCACACTGGGTGCATACAGATAGATAAAAAGGAGTGTTCCCCCCTGTTTAATCAACATAAGGCTGACAGTGAAGTGCACAGAATATCGAATAAGTCATGATCAATCATTTTATTCATAACCAGAATGAAGAGGAGATCATGGTGGAGTGTCGTGTGCGGTTCCTGTCCTTCATGGGGGTAGGCAAGGACATTCACACATTCGCCTTCATTATGGATACAGGAAACCAGCATTTTGAGTGCCACGTTTTCTGGTGTGAACCAAACGCAGGCAATGTGTCAGAAGCTGTTCAGGCTGCTTGTATGGTAAGTGACCTTCCACAAAGGCACCTCAGAGGACTTAGATTTTTCATTGCCTCCATAAATAATCAGCTTTGCAAATTTGCAGTTATATTGATTTCAAGACAGAGAAAGAACAGATAAAAATAGGATTTGGGATTCTGATATATTTAATCAGTTAAAACTCAAACATTTTTAAGTTTGAAGTGTCAGTTTAGTGAACAGTGCTCCTTTTAATCATCTTCCCTCCTAACCTCTGCAACTTCTATGTAAGTTAGAAATCTTCTCTTTCAGTACACAAGTTCTCTAATGCTGGAAAAACATTTTACTTGTAGTTGTGTTATACAATCTAGCAACAACGTAGTGAAAATAATCCTTGTTCAAGAATAGCTGAACTCAGAAAACTCTTTTTTGAGGGCTGTTTGTATGACCTAGAATCCATTGTGTGCTGAAGAACAGATTCTGTCCACAGACTGATAGAGCAGCCTCTTTAACTTTAGCTGGGCTGTTTGTCACAACCGGAATGGAGATTTGACTACGTTTAATGAGAAAGTACTAGGAGTGTTATTTTGAATGGTGTGTGAAAGTACTGGATGCAGTAAGGACTGCAGGATGCTTCTGCTTTGTTGCAGTTGCGGTATCAGAAGTGCTTAGTAGCCAGACCTCCCTCACAGAAAGTGCGACCACCCCCACCTCCTGCAGACTCCGTGACTCGAAGAGTTACAACCAACGTAAAGCGAGGAGTGTTGTCCCTCATTGACACTTTGAAACAGAAACGCCCGGTCACTGAGATGCCATAGCTGCGCCAGAGAAAAGAGCCTCCTAACCCTTAACTGAAGATAACATTAGCTATACTAAGGAAAGTGAACTGACATTGTCTGGCCTTCCATTTCAAATTGCTGATGCTTTGTCTTCAGAGAATTTATCCTTATCGAAGCAATGTTAGACAAGCATGTTCTCGTTCTTGCCACCATCGTGTGATATGAAAAGAAGCATGAATAATTTTTTTGCTGTCAGTGAGTTACACCATGAACAATGGAAGGTCTGTTTGATTGTAAATACATGAACGTTACCTAAACTCACACAAAAAAAAAGAATATGGCCACGTCCCTCCCAGTGAACTCATGCTAAAGTCCTTGGAGTGAATGATGCCCAAGTTGCTAGTTTCACTGTCTTGAGCTGAATTTGTCACAAACCGATCTTAACTCCTACAGCACTTTGCTCTGTTTTCAACACTGGAGTAGGTACCAAGTGTTAGCTACCATTGAATTACTGTAGATTAAATACCAAGTTTTATTTTTTACAGAACTACACCTGTCAGTTTTAAATTGTTTGTCAGCATTGGTCTAGCAACTACTTTAATAACTCCCCGACATGCTTCTGAATCATGGTGTCATTACTTCATCTCCCAGTTATACATCATGGTCTTAGAGAAGAATTGTGCTTAATACTAAAGCAATGCTCAAAAATCCAGAAGAGTTTTCAGTGACTGAGTTGCAGGGTGACCTACTGAAGCTTTTCAGCTTTAAACATACAAATGCAACTGCTGGCTGTTAAATTTATTCTCCTAAATCTGCCATTAATTCATCACAAATACCATTTTTTTCACACAGGGCTCAAACCAATTAGGAGTAAGAAAGAACTAGCCTGTAATTTTATTGTCTTACAACGCTTACAGGGACTAAACTATTCCAAACCTTCTCCATACAAGTGTTTGATGAAATGTTCAATTCAGCATCTGGTTGCACAGTTCCCCCTTCCCCTCAGTTTGTTGCTGAATGCTGAACACCCCTCAGAAAAATCAGTTGTGTTTCTTGTCAATTACAGAATTCCATGAAATCTCTTTTTAATACTCTCGTGACAAAATAAGGAGAGAGTTTTTTCTAACAGGATAGTGCTTCAGGGGGTACATAGAATCATAGAATCGTTAGGGTTGGAAAGGACCTTAAGATCATCTAGTTCCAACCGCCCTGCCATGGGCAGGGACACCTCACACTAAACCATCTCACCCAAGGCTCTGTCCAGCCTGGCCTTGAACACTGCCAGGGATGGAGCATAAATAAACATAAAACCTGATTTCATGCTTTTGCTCCACAGGCTTCTTATAATTGCTTTGACTTACACACTTCCGCAGGCCCTGACAAAGCCAGCCCAGTGTTGCCCCTCAAAAGTGTACCTCAGGTGGATGTTCAAATCCAGTCACGCATCTTGAGTCTCTCCCTTTGCCGTCAGATTGGTACAAATTTTGGAAATGGAACAGTAAAGGTGTTTTTAACTAGCATTTAAACTGTTTTGCCTCCATCTAGAGAGATGTTCCAGACTGTAACTGCCTCCCAGGTCTACAAATCTGGTCATTTAATTTTAAAAGAACATTGGCAAGGTTGTTATTGCAAGAGCTGTGTTTTTTTATTTTACTACGCAACAAACTGATATAAAATAACATTTTATTTCCTTGTTTAAAAAAACTAATGGCAACATCTGGGCCAAAGCAATGTAAGAACAAAAGGGGAAAGAATGATGATTCAAGAAATTTCTGCATTTTTTCACTACGGAAAAATAATTAAGCAAAGCTCAGCATGATGTATGAGCACATGTCAGCTAAGGCTAGCTATGCAACTGTTAGTTGTAATTAAATTTAGCTCTCCAGAACACCCCCTGAAGAGCTGATCTCCACCCATCTCTCATCTCCTTATGAACACAGTTCTGCACCCCGGGCGCTGAAGCAATTGTTTTCCCTCCCAAGGCTCCCATTGCTGCTCCCCCGTCCACACTGGCTCCGCTGCTGGTCAGCTGGGGGAGGAGCTGCATATGCCGGGCAGGGAGAGCTGAGGTGAGGGGATGCCAACAACCCCACTTCAGCAGTACCAGAGGTTAAACTGACCATAAGGCCAGGTTGTGAAGCATAGAGGTGGCAGGTTACACACATGCTTGTTCAGTTTCTAGTGTTGATCCCAATGATGCCTGCTGGGAGCAGGGTAAAAACTCACTTCCCCTCATGACCAGATGTGGTCATGACGCACATCCAGATGTGGTGGCAAACACCATACCTCTGGATAGGACCGTGAAGTTGAGAGATAAAACTTCCTTTATTTATCATTGTGCTAGTAATTCAGATGTTGGCTTCAGTTTATTTTAAATTACAGAAAATAATTTGACAGTGTCTTTTTAAAGTTCCAGCCAGGATTTGGGATTTGCAACTGTTCTACACCAGTGAATTTGAAACCACAGAATTAAACTTTGTACTTGTATCTGCACCGTGCTGATTCTCCCCAAGAGAGATCTGGACTCTCTTTAAACAAAACCAACACTTAGCAAAGAGTAGCATAGAGGTAGTTCTGCATCGGGGTTGTCAAGGCTACCACCATCCCAGTTGCTTTCACTGGCAAAGGGTGCCATTGCAGGAAGGGCTGAAGAGAAGACAGAAGGGGATTTGAAATGCCATAGGTCACCTGCCAATGTATGTTTTGAGTTTTGTGTCTGTTCAGAAAACGTTGATTTTGCCAACACTTCAGTAGCATGCTTAACCATCTGACTGTATGCGGCCTTTTTGCTTCAGTAGAACTCCATATTCTCCAAAAGATTAACTACACACCTAGATGTTTGCAGAACCAGCCTAACACTGCAACGCTCCTTGTCTTTTGTCAAACAATATAGTACAACAGTCTTTACCATGGCCAAAAAAGTCTGTCTGGGATGTGTGTTTGAGCAACTGCCACTGGTTCAGTCAATGTTGCAGCAACCCTACAGTTATCTATGCATTTTTTATAATCCCTAGTGGTTCCGTAGGCCGGCAGCCGTGTTCACTATGCCTTGTATGTCTGACGCCATATTCTAAATTAACCTGTTAAATACAGCTTAAAATATTTTTATTTTATTTATTCTATTTTTACTGAAATATCCTGCATTGTTATGTTGATGTATTGTCTTTACTGGACGTGCTCTTGTAACATTCTCCACTCTGTATACTATAGGTTGCCTAAAAAAGGCAGGCTTTGTAATTATTTGTAGTCACATTTTTATTGAAGTCTGTAGAAAAATCATGTAAAGCAAAACTAATTCCTTAATTTTTTTTTCAATGCAAGTAGTAAGTTAGAGGTAGGTATCACATCAGTCATGTCATTGACGAGCTCACTTGCAGAAGCAAGGAGATTTATATTCGCAGTCAACGACTACAAGATAAAAGCCGTTCTTCTGAAATCCATAGTGCTGGCTGTAGGTTTTATTTAAGCCACTTACTGTTCCATTTGAAGGGGAGCAAGGGCGTGTGGGAGATGTAAGGCTGCAGAGGCCACCCACAGTAGGGTGGAATGGGAATAGCAGAAACTTGCATGGAAGGGCACAGATTCCACTTGCAGTAGAAGGAGGGTTTTGTGATGTACCTGATGGGCAGCCACCTGTACCCACAGAAATAATACGCCCCTCCGTGACAGAGGACCAAAACCTATGGAAATATCCAATAGTTCTGTGTCACTAAGAGTTCTACATCCCTTTTAATTTTATCAAGCATTTCATAAATCATTTAACTAGAGATCTAAAACTGTCATAAGTCACCCATGGCAAAGAGAACTTCCTTATTTCAACAGCTAGTAGGGGCTCAGCCTTTCAGCATTACCATTAACCCAGCACTCCTTTCTTGGGAAGGTTCAATACGTTGCTAAAACTTGTGCTGTACAGTCAGTGAAAGCAGGTTTGACTTGTTTTAACAATGGTAAAGAAGAAAACGCACCCACTGTTTATGAGCAGAGCTCAGTCTTACGTAAAGCACGTGACTGACAGCAAAAAGGACAATTTTCCCTGCTGTTGACCACTTCTCCACATCTAAATGTAATCTGTTCTGAGAATAAATTTAGCTGCATAAAACAATGGTCTCAACTGTTACTGGTTCTAAATTGTGGTTATGGGGAGGGAAGAACACACCGGTGGTTTAGAGGCAGTGGTGGAGCAATGGACACTTTTGTCTCTGGAAAGCTAAATCAACAGTTTCTAGTTGAAAATCACAATTGTATTACAGAATATTACTGACATAAGGTGCAGTTTCGCTGTAAAAAGTCATCAATTCAGATGACAAAAGTCAACTGAGCATACAGGCTTCTGCCTACAAGCCATCTCAAGACATTGCCCCTGTGTGATATTTGGTGCTTGCAAAGCAAGCTCCTGACCTGCAGAGCCAAAATCCCCACTGCCCTGCTCTGATCTTCTTGACAAGACATCAAGATACTCAGAGGTTCAGCCTCTGACATTCCAAAGATGTAAACTCCTGGTAACAAGAAGAGACCGGGTGGGGGATGCCATGATGCGCATGACGTAAGTATCCAAGAAATTCTGTCATCAGACACAGGTGTGTTCTTTTATGAGTAATTTTAATTCTTTTTGATAATGAATGATACAGATTTTGATTTTCAAAAACTTTTGTGCTCTAAGTGCAGAATCTCTAAGTATATTTTAAGCATTTAACAACCATATTGAAAAAATAAACCAAAATCTTGCTGACCATTGCTTTTATCCAACATGTAGAATCTCTCCTCCTCTAAGATGGTTGGTTGGATGGAAACAAGAGCAGGGTTCTTCCTTTTATTGGAACAGGTAAGGAGCACAGGGATATGCAGTAGGTGATGGATGCCTCTGAATAGGACAGCTGGCTCCAATTAAAATGCTAGAAGAAATATTCACTGACTCAGCAATGCAAGGGTATGCATCTGAAGAGCAAGAAGCAGCTGTTACACTGCCGGTGTAGTATCATTCACATCCTTTCCTGTGAAGGTAGAGCCGATCCAGCTACGTTGACTGGTGTAGATGAGGGAGAAAAATAGAGATGTTAAAACGTTTTCTGTGGATGGGTATAAATCGAGACTTGTATGTCACATTGGTTAAGATTCCATTCCACAGTGCTGACACTACTGGCAGCGCTTCTGTCAACTATCTTAAATGATTGCCTAGAGGAAAATTTCTCTTCTGGACCACAGCAACTTCTGCCCTTCTATATTGCTCTGCTGTCTTTGTTTCATTTCTACACTTCTAAATACAATTTCCGAGGTTCCTCTTACTGTCATTCCATCATTGATTGTCATTTTCCTTCTTTATTCTGTCCTTGTTTAATAGGAAATCATACTATAATTAAAAGTATCTCTGAGTGTCCCTTTTATCCTCTCCTCAGATTACAAGTCAGTTGTGAATACTTTACAGGTATTTTATATTTGCTAGCAAGAGGGAGCAGGTTAGAAGCTCACAGCTCTTTCCAGAGACAAGCCACTCTGTTATTATTCAGTGGCTTGCAGTAACACTTACAAAAATAACTTACTTGGACAGTAGCAGCTCTTTTCAACTGAGAGATGCTTAAGTTGTGAAAAGCACTTGCGAGCTATGACATCATCTGACATGACATTAT